TACCTATCTATTTTTGGTATTTCACAGATTGACTATTTCTCACATCTAAGAATGTAGTTTTAAAAATATACTTCTGCATAATTTTCTTTAGTTTTCAAACAACTTTTGAAGGAATGTAAGATCAGGAATCTCATAGCTTTCAAACTTAGAAACACTGCATGTTGAAGACACAAAATGGTGTAAAATGAGCATGAGATACATCTAATCATGTGATATAGTAAAACTTTACCATTCTCTAGTGGTTTGGTTGACTAAAAAATAAAGATTTACTAAGAATTTGAAATATTTAAAGATATATGCTAATTACTGAGATAGGTAAACAAAAAAGTAGTAATCCTTGTCCTAACAATGTCTATAGTATGTGAGGGGATGCCAGACACAGACATGATGAAAAATGACCTACAAGTACCATGCTAACCAACAGCCCCCAAATGAATGAAAAGTATAGATCATACTTCAATAATTCAGGGGTGGACAGTTTCCATTTTTTTATTATGGGAGTCAACAAGTGATTTTTAGGGAATATCAAAAATTTTACTGAATTTAAATAAAAGAATATGAGGTTCTAATAGGTAAGAAAGGCCTTATCAGACAAGTGAATGTGTTTTATGATTATGGGATGTAGAGGAGAGAAGAGAGTGGGGGAGTAACAAACAGTAGCCAACATGAACAGAGATGTTGCAGTCAAATGAGGGAGGACTGAGTGGTTGCCCAGTGAGTTTGAAACAGCAGAAATAGAAGCACATCCAAGTTTTGAGAAGGATAAAGACATGACAGAGTGCTGGATCAAGGATCTTTCATTGATCAAGGAATAACAGGTAATTTGACAGGGATAAAGCTAGGAGAGTGTAGGTCAGTTAGGGACTGTGGTCCACAACTGAGGCGATAAGGCAGCAATCTAGGATGGGGCAGTGATATTTGGAAGGAAGAGAAGAAAGCTTAAGGTCCAGGGATCTTTTATACTCAATAATATATCTCAAGCCTGGGGAAAAGAAGCATTAAAAATAACTCTCAGCTATCAGGGTGAAAAGAAGAATTAGAGAAATTAGGCAAAGGACTTTGTTAGTTGGTTTGCTTGTTTGTTTTGGGGGAGAAGAGTTGTAAGTGGAATGTTGCATTTAAGTTGCTCAGCAGTTGCTTAGGTGGGGCAGTTCAGGGGGCAGTAGTTAGAAAAATGGCCCTGGAACAAAACAGAGAAGTGAAGGCTGCAGGAAATCCACTGTATTGGAAGCCATGGGGCTGGATGTCAACTCTAACAGAATAAAGATATCTAAATATAGGTGAGGTTAATATCAAGGGAAGGCTTCCTGGGGATATGAATTTTAACTATCAGTTTAAAGATAGATTCTCTGAGATAATGTAAGGATATATCATCCTTGCAAGTATTAGATCTAACATTACTGCCATGAACCCAGCGAAGGATGAATATAATGGAATACAATGTAGATGAAATACACTGAGCTGCACGATTGTGATTTACCTTATGGAGGTCAGGAGTCACTCTGTCCTCAGCATGGTTAACAGCTCAGGGAAATGTGGAGAGAGGATAGGTTCAGGTATTTAGGTGTCCAGATCTCAACTCTACTGCTAAATGAACTATTTAACTCAGTTAAGCACCTTAAGCTAAATTTCATCACCTCATTCATTAAGTAAATACTGTGATTATGGGATTAGAGATAATGTGTGCCAGATAGAAAAACATTTCTGATCTGAGAAACTGAAATATCATTATATGGCTTTTCTAGGTGATATGGGCTAAGTTCAATTGTCTGGTGTGATTTTGAGCAAAAGGAGGAAACCTAGCATAAAGTGAATATTTACAGACTTTATGTGAATTTTCATGGATAATATTAGTAAAACTCATGGAGAAAGTACATAATTAAAGGTGGTCACTAATTTTACATAGATATGGTCTGAGAGAAAAAGAAATACATAATTCTACATATAAACAACAGTTTGAAGGAGAAAAGATAAATAAAATGAGTAATAGAGGTGAATTGAGGACTCACCTAGAGAAAATAGTTCATATTAGTAAAGCATATAAAGAGCTAAGATTGGTAGGTTTGAGATTTATATATATATATATATATAAAACTAGGAATGTTTTAAATCTACAGAAGGAAACAAGTTTATTTATACATAATTTCCAGAAATAGAAGAAATAAGAAGCTTTGGTAGGTAGAAATTTATAATGCCACTTTTAAGGATGTACAGGTAAAATAGTGGCCATGTGCTTACATGTTACTAAGAAATATATTTATGCTTCTGTTTGGTGATATAAGACTCAGGATAGCATAGCAGCTAAGAGCCTGGGTTTTTGATCCAGATTTCCAATATAAGAAGTCTAGTTACAGGGTAAATTATTTAACTGTAGTGTACTTCAGTGTACTAATTTGTAAAATAGTACCTAGCTAATAGGACTGTTAGGAGAATTAAATGAGCTAATACACATAATGAGGTTAAGGACTTCCTAGTACATGGTAAACAACCATAAGAAGTTAATTTTTATATTATTTATTATCATTTTTATTAATATTTTTGTAACAGAATAAAGTTACCTCAGTAAGCTTTTCTCACTCCAAAGGTGCCTCGTTGATTACACTATTTATGCTCTAAATTGGTGTCTGATATTAATTGCTATTATAGGCTGTTAGTCAGTATGGGGCAGTGTTAACTAAAAACTGCTGTTAAGCAATTTTCTCAATATTGTTTGAAGTGTCTTGTATCTGGTGAAAGTGTACGGAAAGAAGACAGAGGTGACCAAAGACCCTGCCCTAGAGAAACATGGAATAAGGTTCAAAAGCTGAAGAGGTGAGCGAACGTATATGAGAGGGGGACAAAGAAAACCTTGAAGTTCATATTGAATAAACAAAAAGAAAAACAAAGACATTTCAAAGATGGGAGTTGTCAAAAGATTTCTAATAAGGGACGATGGGCCAATTTTTCTGGTGTGGGGTTGTTTCCTCCATCTTTGGACACTGGGTAAAGAGCTGCCTAGTTTACACCTCTCATCTCCCAAAAGGGGAAAGAAAAAGGTATGTAAGGGCCACTTGCCCAGCCAGGCTTACAAAGCCACTGTTTGTGGCACCTGTTGACTATCCAGAAATCTCAGAGTTGTCCTAAACAGTTGTTCTCTACCATCTTCAGATTGAGAGGTCCAGAGACAGTTATACAGCCAGGGCTGGTCAAGAGAGTTTATGACTTCTGAGCCATAAATATATGCCATTCTTCATGTGTGAAGTATGAATAGAAGGGAATGGTGCTTTCTAGATTCCCTGTCCCGTCCCTCCGCCCCCAATTAAATAAATTTCTAGGTTAAGAATCTATGGATCAAGAATGCTTCATTTGATTTGCTCTAAACAGAGTAGAAATAAAACCAAAAAAAAACAATGATTTGAGCTGAACCAAGACCATATATTTTACATTTTAAACTGTAACCTGATAACCAGTAAGCAATTCTGTTACTGCTCTTTAACCCCCAACTTCTGCTTCTTTTGTGATCACTGATTTCACTCAGTTGAATTATTTTGCTTCATAAAGCAAAGATCAACTAAGAAAACTATATACTATTAACTTAATTTAAATCAATTTCATAATGAAAGGTAATTATTTTGACACAGGTATTTCAGAATCCAAAAAGAGAAAGTATCTAATTTCTTGAAAATTATCAGATCATTTAATAGTAAATAAGTCACATTATGTACCTATAGTGATTTTTGGCATTTGTATCCAGAAATCAATGACTGCTAGGGTCAGAGAATAAGCTTTTAAGCAGTGTATTAATGGAGGAGTTTATCCTTTTCTGAGTAATCAAGATGAAGCCACTTTTTAAGGGTTTATACCTTGATAGGCACAGAATAGATTTTGGTCTCCTTATGCTCAATGAAGAAGATTTTATTAGGTACTATGAACAAGGAAGGTACAAACTAAGCTTATGAAACTTTTCCTTGACAAAAATAGTTGAGTGTGAAAATTCAAGTACTGTGTCACTATAGAAACAGTATAACGATAAATAAAACACAGACATCAAAGTAGCTGTAGGAAATATATTAAGAATAATGTGTGAAAGGTGCATGTGTAACATTTTTTCAAGACCTTTAACTCAGCACTTAGATTTTCAATGCCCACTAAAATGCCACCATTAAAAAATAAATAACTAAACAAAACTTTGGAAACTTACTCCAAGCTAAGAGAACACCATAGTTTTGTTTTGGTAACAATTTAATTATAAATAATGTTATGAAAAAAATCTATTTTATACATAAAAAATCTGGTACTCTATTAGTACTAAGGATAAGAAAATAGCAAATCCATACCTTGCACAAACACACTTTACATCTGTCTTATATTCTTTATATATGTGATATGATAGATCATAAATTAAAGGGATAACAAGTCTTTTCCTTGTTCAAATGTAGGTGCCTTAAAATGTTAATGTATAAAAGGCGTTTCTCCACATTGCCAGATTGGGTGGTAAGGGTGGGAGAGAAATGCACGGGTATTCTGTAATTGTGATTATTTTGAGGACTGTATTCATTTGAGATTTAACTAAATCACATGACACAACCTCTATTCACAGAACTTTGAGTGTAGTAAGATTCCTAAGTATAGATTTTATCCAATATTAATTAGCAAAGACCTCAGAACTTTACACAATCATTTTATGACTTGTAACAGCTTCTAAGAGGTTTAAACCATGCACTATATTGCCCTTGATATTGTATAAATGAAACCAAAGATTGAGGAAGTTGAACGACTTGTTTGATATATCAAAATTAAAGCTAATAAGTTGGATATGAGAATTATGTCCTTTCAATTTGATATCATAATCTCTCTCTGCAGATAACTGTAAATATATATACACACATATATACACACACACATCTGAAAACATATAGTGGAAAAAAATATATGTATATATCCACTTGAATATACAGATATAATACATATTTAGTTACATCTAAAAGCTGGTGAACATATAAAAAACGTAAATGACTAACCTGGTGTTACCACTACTCCATTTCCATTGACCACAGGCCTCTCTTCCTCTTCCTCCTCAGGAGGCTCTATACTGGCTTTCTCCATGTTGCTCACTGATTTATTCCTCTTCCGTTTTCCTTCAGCACTTGGAGTGGCTCCGGGAAGTATCTGATCTGTTACATTTAATAATAATGGTGCTGGTTCTGCTGGAGGCTTCGGGGTACCGTAGTAATTGTCTGCAAATGACACCAAAACATTATGGAGTTGAATATTTCTCCTACTATGTGCATAATTTATAAAGAATGGAGGTTATATTGACCAATTTGTATGCTAGTTCATACATATATATGTATTTTATACACATACACACACACACACACGGTTTTGTGTCCTTTTATTATCTTCATTTGTTGCTTCTATTGTATTGGGCTTTATTGCTTAAATAAAGATATAAAACTATCTTCACTCTCACATTTGTGCCAAACCAAAATATAGTTTTATGTATTAGTCTTGTATGGTACATAGCAATCTTAAAATTCAAAAATTTTTGGTAACAAGCCTTGATTATAATGTTTCAAAAAACAATTATGTCTTAATTAAGGGTATAGGCAACTTTTATTTTTTTAGCAAATTCCACAACATTCTAGAAATG